TCATGGGTTTTCTATGGTCAAAATAAGTAATATTTTAATGATTCAGTATACAATTTTTGGGTGTATATGCGCTTCTAATAGAGCAATTAAGGTACCACATTTTCATTTACAAGTAAGCATCTACTTTTTGTCATGCATTTGAGTTAATAATGGTTAAGACGAGTCTGTAAGCAATTTCACATGGCAAGCGATGATTGCAAATTTTGACTGGGTGTCCCGTTTGCATGTAGTATATTTCGAAATACACTAAGATCTCCGTCCTTGCGGCAAACTCCTGTCAAGAACGGTAAAAACCATGACAGGAATTCCAGAGAGATATCAGGTTTAGAATTAGATTCATTAATCATGGTCACCTTGTCAAAATGTTGCTGTAGGTTTCGTTTCACTTGCATCTTTTCTGATAAATTTCCTGTTACCGTGACAACTGTAGATTTCGCCGGTGTGCCTATTTCTTCATCTGCATCTGCTCCAAGGAAGATTCGCTCGTCAAAATCACCTCGGGTTAGAACATACTCCTCATATTCTTTATTGATACTTTTACTGAGATAGGCAAAAAAAAAAAAAGAAAAGAAAAAGATGAAATTTACAGTACATAACCACCAGAATAGCAATTTGTTGCAATATATGCAAGTAGTCATAGTAACAGAAGGGGCTTCTTTTTTATGCTCTAAGAATTTTTTTTTTAAATGGACAAATGGTTAAGTCTGAAATACCATTTTTTTCTGTCAGTCTCATCTTTTTAATTACATTTGCAGATATGGAAAAGATCTCTCCCACATCATGCTTTTGAAAGGTGTACTCATTTTCACCACTAGAGGGCACTGTTGAGTGCAGAATTTTAAATTTCTAGTTACAAGTCCAGTGATCATGATTAAATTTTCATTCAAGTACAATATCAGCATTGTAGACAGAAATGTTGTATTACTAGCAGCAGAAAAGCCATATGTAAAGTAACAAGCAAAATTGCTGGAATCCTCGGGGGCGGACATCCGGGCATTTTCTACCGCCTGGCAACCTTCGCGGTGAAAACAAAGACCAAAAACTCACAGAAAACGATACTTTGCGATGGTTGTTGAGAGTGCTCTGAACAGTGTAACAAGATTAGCCCTACGTGTGTAACATATATGAATTTGGTTGTTCAAGATTACTTCAAAGTTGAGTTTGTGTTGTTTTCTCGAGTTTTCACCGGCTCCACCGGCGTTTCACAGCAGCGCGCACAAAGCCCATAGAAATACGTGGTACAGTGATGCGCGTCTTAGCAACGTAGAATGTCCGTGACGTAGCTCCGCCCCCGAGGATATAGGCACAAATTTTAACCTTGCTGTCCCTATATGAAGACTAATACTAACTATCACCAAAGAAATAAATAAAATTAGTCTGCTGATTGGCCACAGTGTAAAAGTGAACAAAACAATAACAAGACAGGTTTTACAACTGACACTGAAATATACACACAGAGAATTAATTTTTATGTTATTACCACTTAGAGTATCAAGGGCAACTTTTACAAAATAAAATTCTGATCAGGATCTATAGCCATTAGGAAACTATGTCCACTTGATATCAAACAAATTATGGAAAAATACATACATAAAAAATGGAAAAAATGAGTAGAAAAATGATTGCACACATAGGGTCTCTGTGCACATTGTGCAATTCTGACATGTAACATGTGTTACTGATTGTTTTTTGATTTGATTTGATAAATGAAATACAGATACAGCAACGTCATTTCTATTATTAGCAAATCAATGAAACGTAATGAAACACTATTACATAAAAAAACATTATCCTTCTGGTTTTTGACAAGCGGAAAATGATCTCTGTTCGGAGACAAGATCAAAAGTAAAATTAATTTAAATAATCATGCAAGATTTATGAAACTCACTTATTTACTTCAAAATTGTTGACGTCTAGCAAGCCAGAATAGTTTTCTTGTTTTCCTTTAATAGTCTGAAAAAAAATAAGAGAGGAGAAAAATTGTAATTTTTTAACACATAATTAAGTTCAAACAAACGCAATTCTATACTTATAAAAAAAATAAATGCCATAAACGATCACAAAAATACTAAACTTATAAAACAGGTAACAAAGGTGTGCTCATCTTTTCCAAACTTAGCTATGTTTTTAGTTTTTTAACCTCTTTGTTTTAAGAAATAACAATTTCCTATCACAAAGAAATCTGTAGAGAATTTAAATATTACCAAGGTAACAGTATTTGACACACAAGACATTGGCAAATAATAAAGCTAAATAATGATAAAAAATTATTATTTGATTTCCAGATTACATTAAATAATAAAGTTAAAAAAAACTGATAATTAACTGATTATTAAAATATTAAATATCATGCAAGACAAACAGCAATTCGTTTGGCTGGAACTAATTAAATCCAATTTATAAACAACTGAGTGTAATTAATTATCAACCTCTCCAATAAAATCATTCATCCCACAAAACAATAAACACAGTTGTAAATCTTCCAAATTGTGTCACATTCATTCCGTGCTTAGAAAAACAGAAAACTTTGGACCCCAAAGCAGACTACTCATGCTTCCATGGATAACAAATACGTCAATGGAGTTCAATGGCAATTTCAAATCCATACAGGAACTGGGCACAGCTGTCAAAAGCTTAGATTACCAATAAATGTACCCAAGTCTGGACACTAGTGGTTTAATAATATTCCAAGGCCACGGCAGTAGCTACAAAAAAAAGGGTTTGACCTGAAGTGACCTTATCAATAACCACTTGAGACCTTCAGCCATGTGCTAAGAAGCAAACAGACAGCAGGGGGTTTTCCCTGTTGATTGCCTTACCCTTTTGTCAAATAGTTTCTTGATGTATGGCTTGAACCAGTGTTCTTTTATTCCTTTAGCTTCTACTACCAGGCCGTCGTGAAGTTCGCACAGTTTGTCGATGATACACACAGGTTCTGTGGGTACCCTGTAGTCTTTACTGGTGAAGTTGGAAGGCAAGCCTGAACATGCACAGGAAGAGACACAAGTATTCATACAATCAGAAATCAAGATGCACTGAGAGTATGTGAGCAATAAACAATAATCCTGGTAGCGAGGGTCCTTAATATACATAACTGAGATGCATAATAAAACAATTATTTTTTTTTCTTGGACTGGGGCACTAACTAAACTACCGATTGCTAAATGGATTATTGGACAACACCATTGAACAAATAAATTTAAATGATAATGTCCCTTTAAAATTGAAAAATAGCCGCCTATACATTTCACAGTCATGTTTGTTACCTTTGACATTTATTCACTTGTCAAATAATAAACAAAACAAAAAACAGCAATAGAATATGATTGAAACTCAATTCCCAAGAGCTGTCGGCAACAGCACATCCGGTAAAGTAGGTCACCATCTGTTCAACATCAAGTTCAAATCAACATGTGACACCAGCTTTACAATGTACTTGGGGCGGTTATAAATGCCAATTAGGACATCAAACAAAATTTCTATCCGAAGAGTTTCAAACAATCAAGCCTTAGACATTTAATTTTATTTATATTCTTCAAAAGAGACATAAATTACTAAAAAAATCAAATCACTTGATTGAGTATATTTCCCAAAAGACACACAAAATCACATTTTTATGGCTACTCAGCTGATAATGCCATATATCTTACTGTAACAGTGAACGTTACCCAGGTTACAAATATTTCACTGTCTCAATAAGCCCATTATTCATAACTGG